TGAATGCAAATGTAACTTTTGTGTGTTGTCACCTGGGTGTCAGGCATACCTCCTGCCCTTTGCTGTCTACTGGAATTAGCTTAGTGGGTCAGCTAAAAGGTTTGGTCCCTTTAGGAGGCCTGAAGAGAGAGCCCAGCTGCTCTGGAGGCTTTCTACAAAGAACAGAAAGTCCCATTCACAGTAGACACAGCATTCTTAATTTTGGTTCCCTTCACTTGCATTAACTCTTCTTGTTGCTACTCGTGGACTGCCTGACATCCTAGGTTTTCTTTAAAGTGGTTGAGGTGGAGATGAGCTATGGGTGCTCTACAGCTCAAGTGATGATTTGTCATGCCAGTGATTACTGCCGATTCTTCTGTCCCTTTCCAGCAATGCTTTATGCTTGTGACATGCTCAGCTTCTGCTGGCCCACGACCCGCTACAGGTTTTGAAACTGGATCCCTTGACTGGTTGTGACCCATGCTGGTGCAGTGGCTGGTGTGGCAGATTAATTTACCACTCACCTGTTTGCGTATCACTTGCTTTGCCACTTGGAATAGAAACTGAAGATGATTGTTTCTGAATGAAAGTAGTATTGATAAACGAAACAGGAAGATTGGACTGCTTTTGAGTATCTGGTTTGGTTGTTTTGGAGAGTGAGAAATTGCTTTTGTTAAAATCATGGTTTGCTGCTCTGTTCCTTGTGATCTGTGTACATACCAGGTGTTAGCTCCTGAGAACAGCAGGTTAAGTGCCTGAGAGAAAGGTTTGGTGGCTCTAGAGACATCACGCAGCTGCAGTGCCCTGCATTTGCTTATCAGCATATGCTCCTGCCTTGGGTGGTCAAAAACTAAAGTGGGATGCTGGAGTTTCCCATAGCTCTCTGAAGTACACCCTGAGTTACAATCTTGTGGTTTCTCCCTTTTTCATTAATTTGTAGGTCTCAAATACTCAAATACAAATGCTATGATACGGAGGTAGAAAAATTGAGGGAGCTCCAAAATATGTTTGAAGACCAATGTTAACAAGTGGCATCTAAATTTCTACTCTGTACCTGTGTTCTACCTGATAAGTCGTCTCACCATTTTTTAAAAGATGGAATAAATAACAATATTTTCCTTTTCTTTCTTCCTACATTCCCTTTAACATTCATTTTCCATTGCTATTTCTCCTTCCCCCCGGCTGTGGCCCGGGACTGCTGCCTTTCACTGGTCCCCAGGCACAGAGGAACAGTAGTGGTACACTGAAGGGTGTTACTGGGATGTCTTGTTGGTTAGAAGCTGTGCTGTCACTGCATTGAAAACCAGCCTGCATTAGGTGCTACAAATGAAACTCCTGGACCTCATTTTTACTTCTGCTGATGCACCTGTACTCTTGTTCATACTCCTTGCACCAATCATTGCTGAGAAAAAGGTAGCCCCTTTTTCCCCCACTGTCTGATGGAGCCATTTGTACTTGAATTGTGAAACACTATCAGTTGAGCTGCATCATTCTACAACTACTGTTGCATAGCTACAAATGATGTAAAAATGTACAGAAATGCAGAGAAACAGGACCCTAGAGTCATTCTGCAGTGATGCCTAAATGGAAAATGTGTAGGTGTCTTAGACATGAGGTTGATCAGAGATCAAATGATAGCTTGGGTTTTGCTTGTAGGTTTTTGTTTTCTGATTAACCCTAAGACATCTAAGCACCTTTTTCTTTCATCACATTAATCTTTACTTCAAATGACCAAAAGCCCCACTTTGCTTTGTAAATAAACAGAATCCTGCCTTTGAAAACAAGAGCAGTGATGACAAAACTGTAGGCTTTAAAGATAACAGACCAGTTTGTTACAGAGTGAAGTAACAATAGTGGGCTTTTGTCCACTTGAAGTAAACATTGATGATGGTATGCATGTGCTCGTCACCCATATAAATCTGGGCAGAAATGTCTTCACATTGCAATCACAGCTGCTGACTGCTTCTAAGTTTGTTACTTCTGAAGCATTCACATGTAATGGTGTTGTGACTACCTTCTTCTGCCATTGCTTGTGCCAAGACCTGAGTTTATCACCAAGTAAAAGGTGGGGAGACCCAAAAAATACCCCCAAAACCCCCAGGAAAAATGCAAAGCTTGCACTGTTGATTAATCTTGTAAGTGATGTGGGTCAGGCTTGCATATCAAGCTGCTTAAACAACTTGTATTTGAAGCACCACCTTAAAGTAAATGTGAATAAAAGGCAGAAAGTTTTAAGCCCTGGATAGCCTGAATTTGCTTTTGGATCTGTAGATAAACTAATTGATTTTTATATAGATAACATTTCTCTAGAATGTTTTTTCCCTGCTATCTGGTAGGAGTGGCTGTACAATGAGAAACTAGTTCCTTGGACTGGGCTGACTGCTCGAGCTGCTAGGATACTGGAGTGGGCGATCTTCTGGTTCTTTACCAGAAATTTCACTCTGGACCCAAGAAATATTCAGTTACAATTTAGGCAGACAGATGCTTTCTTTGTGAAAGGTCTGTTTTAATGAATTTATTTACTCTTTTAAGTTCCATCTACCCAGAAAAAATGTCACTGATGTTCAGACAGCTCATCGACAGGAAATATGGTCAAGGAGCTATTTTTGTTTATTTTTGTTTATTTTTGTTTATTTTTGTGTTACTCATGCTACAGGAAATGAGTGTGTCATTATTTGCACCTTTCTGTGAGGTGATGTCATGACCACTTTCACTGCTGTGGTTAGTTTATTTTATTTGCAGGATTTAAATGTGAAATTCTTATTAATCTTTAGTCAGACTCATGCTAACCACAAGGCAAAGTTTGCTGAGTCATCATTTTTTATGACGTGCAAGTTATACAGTTCACTGATAGGTAGGGAAAAAAACCGCTAAATTCCATTATTGACTAAGACCGGAGAACTCAGAATGGCCAGTCCCTCTGTGTTAAAATTGTTCATACAATAGAAACAATAGTTCCCTAGGTGCATCTTGCCCTTCAGCTCTGTGGGGTAAGGAATAGAGAGGGAGTTTCCTTAGGGATGGGAGAAGGGCTTTGATCACTTGTGTCCAAGGTCAAACCATCCCTGCGCTGTACTGAATCAGCGCTGTGGGTGTGTCTTTTCAAGAAGACAAGCTCTGATGGAGGGATGGAAAATCCTCACATTATCTTACCTACTTTTCAGTGAGCCAGAGCACTCAAGCTGCAGGCCAGATTTACAAGAGAGCCAGCTGAGTGTGGCAGATGAAAGGCTAGTGCCCATCTGCACAGCCGCATGTACATGGCTACAATAAACGCTAGTCTGCTGTCACTGTCAACAAGTGTAATTTATTATTGTGGCCAAAGCAGCCAGAAAAGTGCCTTTTGCTTTTTTGGGGAGTTATGTTCTGCACTGTAATGCTGATGACTGTGCCAGAAATGTTGCTTTTGTTGACTGGCCTTCTATAGAGTTTTTTTAGAGATTTTTCTTTTTTTCCCCCAAAAAAAGTTTATGCTTCACCAGTGAAGCAGTGGTCTATGTCTATTGGAGCTACTTATAGCTGCAATCGGTCATCTAGCTTACAGCATCAGTAGCCTTTGGTAGACGCTCGTGAGCCACAGGGGAGGCAGGTATAGCAGTTGTATGCGTGAACTGTAACCACTTGGGTTTGTCCTTCGAGGAAACAGATTAAGAACAACCCTAAGAGGTATTTGGTGACAGGCTTTATCCAGCTCCTAAGGCTTCTTATAGTTCCTCACCTACAGCAAGACAATATAACTTCCTGGCATTTCCTCAGAACCTGTTGAGCTCCTTCTGCAGTAACGTGAATGCCAGGTAATAGCTGTACTCTGATTAGACAAAGAAATTTGGGCTGATTTTGTGCAATGCATGCACTAACTTCAATTTAAACTTTAATCATAAAATAGACCACTTTTTCTCCATTTGCTGTACAAGATGCCTGATGTGTTTTCTACTAGAGTCCTAGTCGTCAATCAGTATCCAACTCAATCTGTTTTCAAAACCAAAGCTTGATGCAGAATGCTATGCCAAGGCTGTCATTAATGCAAGAAACTGAACCATCTATTTTAGTGCTGTGCAGTTTGAAAATTGTTGCAGTCTTCACTTTCCAGAAATATCAGCTGAATCATGGACAGCTAGGATTAAACAGCTCAAGAGCTGTGTATAAAACAAACAAACAAAAGAGCTGCGTATTAAACAGCTCAAGAGCTGCCATATGCAGTAGCTAGAGATAAATATCCTTTTCAGGCCAGAAAGCTGACAGGAGATTAACAAAGACTGAGAGCCGCTAATACTGCAAAATGGCTCTTTATACCTGTTGGTACAAGGAATAAGACAACTGAGTTCATGGTTCAGGGCTGAAGAAGGAATGATCATCTACCAGCACCAAAAGAAATTCTGCTGTTTGGGAAGTTGCCTGTCCACACTCATTCCTTATTTCACCCTAGGTAATGCAAGGAAAAAGTATCTTTCTTATGTTCTACAGTTACTGTAAAAGGAAAAAAGCTGATTGTAAGAACTTTGTGCCTCAATAGTATTTAACATCAAACAATGCCCTCTTCCAGGATGGACAAACAGTTCCATCTCTGCTCTGCAGGTATGTAGTATACCGCTTTTTGATGTGGGTAAGTTGAATTCTTGTAGACTTCAAAATTGTGTATCTTAATAGCAGGACCACAACTGCACTAGCAATGAATTTATTTATTATAAATAAAAAACAATAAATATCTCATAACTTACTATTACAGCTTTCTAAAAATATACATCTAATTTTAATATTCTCAAAAGCTAGTTCTGAGTTATACAATTATAGTCAAAATATACAAATTTTTTCTGGTAACTGACACTTTACCCTTTAGAGTCTACATTAATACAGAGACTAATTAATGCCCAATTAACAACATCCTGCTAGAGAGATTTTAGCAGTATTTAAACAGAAATAAACTGAAAAGAAAACAAGTAACTTAATACTATTTAACAAATGGGAGTTCTCCACAGAACTAGCTCTACTATCCCCATTTAACAGCTAAGTTTTGGCTGCTATTATGAATAGTCATGTGAGATCTGAAGGGCCTCTGCAAAGCTTTCCTCAAGATCATCAAGTTTCTTGTTGGCTTCCAACTCACTGTCACAAGTAATCAAGTTTAAAGTTGCCTCACATGAGGGTGAAGTGTCTGGGTCTTCACATTTCACACAAGAATCAGACTCTGTTCCAGCATCCATCATTTCAGCAACATCTTCTGAAAAGTCATCCTTGCTCTGCGTCTCCTTTGAACTTTCCTGACATACTGGTGATTCACATTTGTTTGGTTCCTTTAATGGTAAGTCCATGGTCCCAAAGACTTCTTCACTTTTTGTAGCCTTTCTTTGCCTCTGACCTTTACTGGTAAACTCCAGCTCTTCCATTGTATCAAACTCTTGCAGATCCAGTGAATCAAAGGCTTCCGAGCCTGCATGGATTTGCTCTGCACTGCAGCCGAGGTCTGCTTTCAGTACATCCAACAAGTGGCGCATTTTGCTCTAGGGAGTGAAGGAAGAAAGAGGTGACACTTCTTGAGCCCCCAGCTCCTATCTGTCCAGAACTCAGGGCTTAATTCTGACAGAAGGAAAGGAAGGCTGCTGCAATCAAGTGAGTAAATTATACAGCAAGTGTCACCAAACCAAGTTGACTATTGTCCCTTTTTTGTGACTGTGCCTATGACTCCTGATCTACCATGATCCATGAGTCTGCAGATCTCATTTATGGAGAGAGATGCTCCCCACTGAGCATTCTGCTTACCTCTACCTGCAAATATACCAGTGCATTTCCACTCTACTTTGGAAACGTTGCTAAAGTCATATGCAGAGAGGGAAAGTATTATAGGGGCAGCACCTACCTCATCCAGGCGGTTCTTATTTTCTTGTACATGACACTCAAACAGTTGTTCCAGAACTCTACAAATGAACAATTAAATGATTTCGCAGGAAGAAAGACAACTTTTAACACATCTACATAAATTAATGACCTTAGTTTTTTATTTTCATTTCTTAGCTGAACAGGACCACTAAGATTGTCTCTATTATGCTCTGTCACAAAGAGGGCTACCCAGAGTTGGTATCCCACTGGACACGTGCTCAGCAGGCAGACCCAGCTTTGGGCAGCAGATGGTAACCATGGGGTGATTTGCAGCAGAGCTCTGGGTCTGTTTGATCTGTTGGGTCTATGCGGTGGGAGAAACCAACAATCCAGCAGTGGTTCTGCTGGCATGCTTAAGTATCCAAAATCTCTTAGGTTCACTACAGTGGCTGATATACACAAGTGTAAATAAAGGGAAGGAATAAAATTCAGCTTCAGAAAAGGATCCAGAGAAAAGTCCTCAGTCCTGAGAGCTCTCTTCCATTGCTTAAGTAGGAAGGATGAGAAAAAATTTCAGCACAGAGGAAGTGTTCTGTGACAACTAAGGTACACAGTTACTGGAATGGATTTCCAGAAGGTCAAGTGAATTTAATTGAGCTTACACAAGACATTATTAAAAAAAAAAAACAAACAAACCAAAACCAAATTAGTGCAAGAAGGGTTCTAAGGGAAGATAACACTACTGTAAAAGAGAACCAGAGGGAGACTGCTCTTCAAAAAAATAATCTTTGAGAATTTTCATTTAGTGTATTTAACATTCTCATTGATAGCCTTGACATGAGAAAAAATAAAGAGAGTGCACAGAATGGAAAAACGGCTTGGAACATTATCAACCCAGAGGAAGATCAGAATATTATGCTGAAATTAGTCTGCCTTGAAAATGCAATTACAAAAATGGGTCAAAATTCTGTATCAGAAATACTGCAGGATTGTTTTGCTATAAACTGAGAGTTCTTTATAAGAAAGAACTGGCACAGAAAAGAATTTGGGAGTACTACTAAAATACATGAATTGTATCATTGTTTAATTATTGAAAAAAGTCTGATTTAGCAACTGGTCAACCCTTATCTGAAACAGTATGTAATCCTGACAACACCTGTTGTCTGAAGACTGAATTCATACTGGAACAGGAACAAGGACAGAAGGGAGATGGAAGATCTGTTGTGTGAAAGATTAGGCACTTGGTTTATTTAGCAAAACAGATGTTGCAGAGTAAAATGATTTCTTCTTAGCATTATGTCACTGTTCATTACTCCACCTAGGGTTCCACATCAGTTTCTAACAGAGGCTTTATCTCATGGTACATAGCAGCAGATCAAAGTAGATGACCCACAGGTGTTTCCTAGTTCCTCTTTCTTACATAAAGCAAAAAAGAAGAGGAAACAAAACAAAAGGGGTAACTGCTTATCTATATATTCTTAAAGGCAAAGAAATGATTACTAAACACTAGTTCCCTTTCTTACCGAGTCCATGTGTTTCTGACACAGCATTACCAATTTGAAAACAAGCATAACCTACCTGTTAGAAAATAGCCCAAGGCTAAGAATTTCATTTGTTACGTCTTCAATGAAAGCTAAATATAAAAGCTCTTCTTCGCTGTAGGGAGAATAGAAAATCCAATGTTTAATGTTTTAAAATAGAGACACATATTACACAATGCAGTAGGTCCAATCACCTTTATAGGAAATACTATTAAGAAGATTGTATAGTTCTTGGCACCAACTGCTATTTTTAAGAAAGGTAATTCTATCAGGACAAACTGAGCCTTTCATTCAATTTGAATAATAATAAAAAACCCTGTGTAAAATATCAGACTGTTAGAAAGGTCGCTATGGTGCTTCATGTTTATGCTAACTTTCTGTTGTGGTATAAATTAGCACAGAGATCCTGAGTGAGGAAATCAGCAAATCTTGGAAAGCATACAGAACCTGCTTTGCATGTAAGAAGAAAGGGGTGCTAACTGGGAAGAAAGCATAGAAGTGCACTTTGATGCTCTGAGTAAAGGCTGCCAAAGGAGCTTCTAGAGAATGACTGCAGCTGAAAATTGCTAGTCCTTAATGGAAGCTAAGAAAAACCTAAGTGCTTATTTGACAGCCTCAATTCCTTTCAAACAACTCTTTGATGTACAAAATCCCTGTTAGTGCGAGATGTGGCTTTCACCTCTTTGAACAAATTTCTCTCTATTTTAATACCTCTTAAAGCCTTGTTGATGCCAATTCCTCTAAATAGGAGACTCTCCTAAAGTCTGGAGTTCGGTTTGGAAAACAACAAGAAGGAAAACCCTAAAAGAAAAGATTTCAGTGCTGTTTCTCTTTTATAGCATCTTTCTAAATATCTCAAAGTATCCAATCAAGCTCTATTGAATCATCCTCCAGTCTTAATAAAGAGAAAATAAAAAAATGGATACATCTCACATGACTCTTATTATGTAAAATTTGTCATCCAGCCTGAAGATTGTAATTTTGGTTCCCTCTAGAGTCAAGAAAGTTACCTATAGCTGATCTTTGATACCTATATTACATCCTTAAAGTTAGGCAAGAACAAGCCTGTCCTAAAGCACAAAGAATTAAATGACTTTCCCAATAAGGCATTGGCAGAGTTTCTATATATAACTCAAACCTCTTCTAATTCTCATCAAATTTCAGAGCAGAAATGTGGTAAGAATGCCCTTCAACGTGATC